AAAACGAAGTGTACAAATTAATACAAAAGTACAAATAGAGTGTGAATGCAAATTCAAAGGCGGCATACTACAAAAGTAGTGAGTGTAGCATTAAAGACAGAGATGACAATATTTACACCACTCTGATAATTGTTTCAAGATTAAGTTTTTGCTTTTTCAAGGATTATTAAGATCAATCAATATTTATTTAAACAGATTGAAACTTGACAAAGGTAACTTTATAGACGGGGATAGATTACAGAATATTTCTATTACTCAGTTGCTTTCTTGTAAAAGAGGTTCGAAAAAGTATTATTATGTTATGGCACAGACTGATGAAAATTTAAGGATAACAGAAAAATGGGAAGAAGAAATACTAGTAAGACAGAACTGGTCAAATATATTTATCAAAGCATTTAAATCTACATCTGATCCAAAGTTAATATGGATGCAATACAGGCTACTACACAGAATTATACCAGTCAATACATACCTAGTTAACATGAATCTTGTTAATAGCAATCTGTGTACATTTTGTAACTCCGAACCTGAATCAAAACTCCATCTGTTTGGGGGATGTAGAAAAAGTGATTTTCCGGGGGAAAGAACTTTCTCAGTGGATTAAGTTTTAATGCTTACATGTGATCTAGTATTATTTGATATTTCAGAATCCTTCCACAGTGATGCTCTATTTGACTTGATAATATTTCTAGCTAAACTTCATATCTATAAATGTAAACTTACAACTCGAATACCACATTTACCCGTATTTCAAAAAGAATTTAAATATTATCGTAAGATAGAATTTGTTTTAGATTTAATACCAAACCAAAGTTTCAAGAATGCCATAACAAATGGAAAAAATATGAAAATCCTTTTCAAGAGTAAATATCGACAATGTAAATTAGTTTATTTCTGGTTAATGCATCTATAGTATGAATGTGTGAGTGAATGTTGTATTTATGTCTAAAAAACCAAAACCAAAACAAATACCTGTTTATATACAGTGTACATGTCCTTTCATATTATACAACTCTATACTTTGAATTCAGAAGCAATATGAACACCAATATACTCCTACATGTTCTTTTTAATCTAATACTGTTGATGCTTACCAACAAGTTGTGTTGACAAATGATAATATATACATAAAAACTATTTAAACCACTCGTCAAGTTTCCTAAACGGGCAGTTTTCAGGGTAAGGATGATCTCCACGCAACTGTTGGTCATCTTGTAACGATGTGGTGTGATGGTGAGAGGTAAACATTAACTGCTCTTATGTGCCTTAAACAATTCCTGACTTTTGTATCATGTTTTCTGTGTCACTGGACAGGCCCAATGGACAAAGATTGTAGTATCTTCCGCAACTCTGCGAAATATATCACTGACCCTCAATGTAAACCACCTACATAATGCCTTACACTGAGAATTCCGACTTCTATATCACATTTATACTTTCATCTTGTGGTGATACCAGGCGTTCAAGACCAGTCATTTGTTCATCTGAGACAACACAGGAACATCTGTCCAGCAGGTTAATGCATGGGACATGTCTGCCATGCCATCTTTCAAAAGCGTTTAAAGGCTTTGAATAATGTCACCTTGATGAAACAACTTGTGACGTTTCTAAAACTCTTCATATAGCATGTTCGAGTGCACTTTGGAAGCATTTAGACATGTTTTCGAATTTATCTCGATGTTTCTACTTACATTTTCGTAATTGCGACCACTTGATCGCTACTTTAAGGTTATTTCCAAAACTGTGAATATTAACTGTTTTCTCGTCCCTTTGATTATTCAAGCTATTTGAAGTAGATTTTCAGGTTTTCATCGTAACTTCGTTGTTTTGAAATTTCAATCTTCTCTCTCGTCATTTCAAGTTTCTTTTCCAAAGTCGGAAGTTGGAAAAGCTTCTTCTTAATTGAATCGCCATGTTAGAAATTTAAATGATTATCTGGAAATTTGTTCAAAACTTGAAGTGAAAATAATTGATTACAGAACGTCAGTGCGAATGAATACCCAGTCTTGGCTCATTTTAGAAACAAACTCCGTTTGGTGTTAAGGGAAGAATAGCTTTGAACATTATTGGAATGGATCACTGAAAATCAGTGACGAGAAAATGCTCAACGCGTCACGTTTATGAAACAAACATTAAATAAGGAGAAAATAGTTGAAGTAACGGCAAAATACTAGTAAATTCAGAGTTAAGAGAAACACCACAGAGCTTGAAGGGAAAGTTATGGAAGCAACACGAAAAATCGATTATTCTTTTGCTTTGGGATGAAGCAATAACGAAACAATCATATGAAACAGGAAAATGCAATTGTAGTAATAGTGTGCACGCAGTAGATACGGAGTAACTGAAATAAAGGGAAAATTCCGTTTAAAACATAGCTTGTGGCGCGATTAGCTGCGTGGTGCTGTTATCATTATTGCGAGAATTGTGTGAAAAAGAAAGTAATGAATGAAAAGTTGATCATAGAGCGCAAAGAATATTCAATTTTGAAACACATTTCGTTTGTTGTAAAGAGACAAAATAGCGGTGAAATCCTTACATAATAATAATTATAACCACAAAATTAAGAGAAATGTAGGTTTAAAACAAAATGTATGTTGCCAAAGTGGCACGATTAGCACCATGGTGGGCGTGTGCTACCATTAGATTAGAACCAGATTAGAAACAAGTGTTCCGCTGTTGCTATCACACACTGCAGGGGCCAAAGAGGTTCAGCACCAGCAGCAGAATCCGAGTGATTGGTACCCGCCTATCTGGTCATCTGGTGGTAAACGTGTTACAGTATCAATTCCTACTAAGTAAATAACACGTCAGTATCGAGATAAAGTCGTTAAATCAATATTCAGCACTCAAGTCCATCTGTCCCGGCTGTTTCATGTCACGATGGTCGAGATAACCAATATGTCCCCCAATCAAATGTCATTCTTCGTCAGATGTTATCTTTTTGTTTTAAATTGGTTTTCCTGTTTCTTTTCACGAGTTTCTGATGAACATATGTATAAATATGAGCGGTCTATACATACTATCTGCAGAAACTCTTTCGTCGTCAGTTGTGGTGAGTAACATTTTTGTGTGATATTATTGTTTATAGGTAATCAGAAGAATCCTGTATTTGTACACAGTAAACCTAGCCTCTGGATTGTTTCTTCTACTGTATCAGGCAACAAAAAACAAACTTCTTTCTTACAGAAATCCGTGAGTGGCGGGAGTTCCCGGTAGGGCAGGACACGTTACCTGTTAGAGAACACCAGGTGTCCCCGCTAATGATCAGTGACCCACCCGTAACATCCCATCACTAAATGTCGCTCTTGAAAAGGGTCTCTTTCGACGAAACCCTAGACTAGTATTTCATTGGCGTTGACTTCTGTTCTTTATACGATGGGTTATGTGTACATCGCGCCATCCGTAAACATAACACTCTCTAAGCAGATTGTAGTATAATACATTGTGTAACCTAGAAATGTTAGCTAGATATGTGAGAGGTGGTTATTGTTATTTGAGACATTTCAGAATACCATAGAGCTTATATTTTTAACGTCATTTGAACTGCTTCCTTTATCCATATAGTTGTTCCATTTATAAATGAAAACAAGAGAATATATTAATGATGCCTCACATACCCATAAATGTTTATTTCACTTCATTATTTCAAGGTATTATTGTCTTATAGAGTTGTGATGAACAATATGCCGTGTTCTGCTTTTTAAGGCAGATACAAAACAAAACATCTTGTCAGTAGTTTCTTCCACTGGTGATTGTACTTGTAATATCATGATCTTTATGTCAAGCAGATAATATCAGCTGATCAGGATGCGTCTGTTCCTTGTCCTCCTGCTTGTGGCTGTGGTGCTGATGTCGGAATCGGACGCCTGGAGAAGATTCAGGATCAGGATCCGCGGCAGGAGAATACTTCGAGCCGCTGGACGGGCGTACGGGTTTTACAGGAGATACAAACACATCATCAACCCAGTCGTCGGTAAGGACAGGAATATGTTCCATAAAAATATCTTAGACTTATTATCTTTCAGTATATCAATATTTGTTGAGGACATCCATTCAGTTACGTGAAGGGTGTCTGTGGTGATGATTTGGGCGACACATATTTCTGCTATGTGTATAATCAAGGCACACCAGAAGACAACGGTACTCGTCTTCGTTAAGAATGTAATCACAGTTTTGACATATTAATATATTTTGGTATACATTAGTTTTGCTATATGCATTTTCTGCCCTTGAGTTGAGTCCCGTCCGGGATCTATACAAAAAGGCCATCTGGACATCTAGATCACGTACATTGTGTATCCTTCTGAAAAGTGTTGAACGCTATTAATACACTATACCATTTAGTAAGTGCTGACCTTTTAATACGAAAAGAGTCGACATTATGTAATTCTCCTACATTTTCAATGTGAGCATCATCAATTGTTTTGAACGGCAACATAGTGAAGATCGTACAGTAAGGAACTGATAAACTGATGGAACCACAGCAAGGACGCATTAAAAATATGTCATGAGTATGGCGAAAAGAGGTAGCACGTCCCAGTAAAGATAACTGTCCACAGTGGCAGGCACTATTTGAAAATGTCAAATTCAACTTTATATGTATATGATGCTTTGAGACTAAGAAATGTATTACCTTATGAAGATGTGCAAAATGTCAGGTTTCCACAAAACAAATCAAATACTGTTCTTGGGTGTTTGAGTGATCGCATGAGTTATGAGTATGCTTCTCTGAAAATACTTTCAGTTAGAGAAACCGTTTGTCATGTATATAGGATTCAACTCTGAATTATGAATTACTGCTTTTGGAAGTACAGCTTCACCCGTTTTGATAGAGTATTGGAATAATCAAGGAAAGAGAATCATGTCACTGTCGATTTAAACAAAATGAACCATTAATTGTTTTTTGGGAAAATCTCAATGCATTTCTTCGATGCCATTACTTTGTGACTTTTGATACTGCAAGAGGATTACTTTAAGACATTTATATTCTTTGTTTGCAGGAGCCTTGGGTGGCAAGAGAAGTATTGACGACCTTGATAAGAACAAGGATGGCAATATTGACCAATCTGAAGCCGAGGAACTGATGGAAAGACGGGCAGCCGAGGATCTACTTTCATTTGCCGATGAAAACGGTAAAGTAAACTCACCGTTCACATAATCACTATGTATACTAAGGGTGTCACGATACACCAATCTCACGATACGATACGTATCACGATTTTAAGGTCACGATACGATACGTATCGCGATACATAATTTTCGCGCCTTTTCATAGCATTACCTTACCGGGAACGTACGCGCTCGCTTATTTGTACCATCAAAATAGTCTAACCAATCACAAAAGCTGTTAGTTTCCAACCTATTTTTTAAGTAAAGGTAGCTACATCTATTTATCGGAGCGGTCTCGTATAATTTTACTATCAAGACTTTGAAGGAGATGGATATAGCATAAAAATTTGAATCGATAAAGTTTTAAAATAGGAATCAATACACGCAAGCATGTATCGCGTATCGTATCGTCAGTAAAAATGTATCGATGCATCGATACATTCGCGTATCGCGACACCCCTAATGTATACCGTCCCTACAACTCGCACATTAATCACGGGTTATTCTATTGTGAACATGTAAATATTTCCCAAGTAATGACCACAATTTAACTGATGATTTCAACAATTCCAGATGATTCAAACGTGAGTTTGGAGGAGTTCTCGAGGAGCATCCATGACTTCATGACCATAGATTCAGGTAATAGGACATGACAAGTACACTTGTACTGGTTTTGTATTAAACGAACATTGCAGATATTGGTGTAGGTTGTTGTACATACCGTGTACATAACGCTGATGTAAACAGTGTTCTAGTTATATTACAGGAATGACAGACCGAGATCATAATCAGGTAGAATCCCTAACCAGTCTTATAGACCTCGCGACTGCAAGCTCTGATGTGAAGTATGACTGAACTATAGTTGTCCATGTATATGTTAATGAGTATCTGTTATTTTCTTACAGACCGAGATTTGCGAAATGTACTCGAGGAGGAGTTTGCTGATGCTTTCGACTCAGAATAATGATCCCAATCAACAAGTTTATTGAAAAATGTCAATAAATCATCCGTTTGTAGATGCTTTCTAGGATGACTCAGAGTGATGTTCCTAATCTACAACTTTATTAAAATCTTTCAATAAATCATCTGAGTAAACGAGAATTGTTTCATGTCTGTTGTTTATGTATAAACTCTGTTGATAATTACAGTTGCGTCCCTTAGTCGTGTTAGTATCCGCTGATGGATGAACCCTGTAAAATAGGTAGTTACAGCTATTGCCATGATGCATCTTAATCAGAGTACACGACGCGGTTGTCAACGTCACAGTAACATCAAACGTCTATACACGTGTACCGAGAGCATAGTAACGAAATCAGAATAACTGGCTGATGAAGAAATAGGAATGGCGATATGGTCACGCGATGTGGTCATCAAGGACCAGAGGGAGGCCACACTCTTCGACTTAGTAGACTGTCAGTTTTACCTGAAGTCATGGCGATGCATACTATAGAAATGATCCCTGAAAGTATCATTTTCAGTTGCACTCAGTCGGGTTCCCCAAGCATTTGATAGGCCAGAACGCAAAATGGCTTGTAAGACCTGATTTTCTGCCACTGGAGCCATTCTAATTTACACTTGTCACAGAGGTTTCACAGTTTCGTTGTTGTTTTTCCATGTCCATGGGAACAGGTTTGACTTGGACACAGGCGACCCCAAATTAGTAGGCATTCTCTCATGATGCAACTTTGCACCCGAAAGAACACGGTTTACCAATTTGCTCCAATTATCCTTGGAAGACCATGTTATAGTGATGATATACGTACATTTTTTTAAAAAAAATCGATCTATCTTTGTGTGGCTCTGTCTGTTTGTCTATCTTGTTTAATAATGGTGTAAGAATCCACAATCTGCAATAAAAAGATAGATAATGGCTATGGCTTGATTAGCTCGTTGTTGTGGATTCTTCTGTGGATTTCGATGGATTCCAAAATTTCTTCACCAACCTCAAGCAGCATTCCACTAAGTCGTTAAGAGGACCATGTCGAGCACACTCCAGGCAAAAACCCAAACTGACGAAGCATTAATCATAACAAAAATAAAAGCACTTTAAGGCAAAGAAAGACTTGCACAATATTGTATGTGACGGCCATTTTGAAATCCAAGATGGCCGCCAATGGGATGATCCAGTTTTGTTAACGAAAATGTATAAAACAATGGAGGAAATGGGAGGATAAGGAAGGGTGATTCTCTTAAGGGAGATAACTCTACGTAACTTTGGTCTTTTTTCCCCTGAAACTGGATCATAACAAACAGATCCCATTGGATGTGTATTTAGAGAGAGAGAGTGAGAGAGAGACTCGACCCCCCCAAAGATATTAGAATCCGTTCTTTACTGACAAACAGGAAACACGGAACATAAAATTATGTTCAAAATTACATAGACATCTATGTTTCACATTGTTTATGTGCTTATGATTGACATTGTGCTTCTTTGACTTTTACATCACACACAAAGTTTCAACCAAAGTTATTCTTGATTAGGCTTGATTAGTTGATCGTAAGCCGTGGGGATGTAATAAGCTTGATCTCTGTTGATTGCCGGGTTGAGTCGTTTGATGTTGATTGCCTCTAAGAGTTTTCTTATCTTGTTATCTGACCGGTTGGCTTCTAGGATGCTGATGTTGTTCCAAAGTATGGTATGGTTCGGGTGGGCTTGGGTGTTCAACTTCATCATACCAGCTTCCAAATGCCACTTAAGGAAGAAAATGAGGTCTTCGTTGATAGTTTTGTTCTACACGTGTAACCAGCCACCTGCACCTCGATTGTTGCATACCCACTACACAAACAATGAATATATATCACCTGCTACATAACTACAAACATCATGTCTCGGTTGAATACCATTTTCGTCTTTACTGGAGGATATTTCTATATCAGTTAATTTGTGAATATCTCAAAAGGGTTCCAGTTAATAGAAATTATATACTGAGATTTAGATTGGAGCATTCCCGTGTAACAGCAGCATAAGAAACAGGTTACCTGCAACAAGAATGAATGACAGCCAGCTCATGTCAGTTCATTCGTTAGAACAATCATCTGTGAGTCTGCAAACTGCAAGTACATGGTGTAGATTAATCTAATATTGACCAGACACAATGCCTTAATTTAACATCTGGGTACAAACTCCGGTTATCAAACAGTGGAGCGCCGTCAGATCTTAAAATGGCTCAAGGTACACCCGCCTCAATCTACTTAATGACTGGAGGAACATTCCTGATAGAGCTCACATATAAATAACAGTGAGTGAGTTAAAATTTAACATCACATCGGCAATATTGCAGGCATATCTTAATTTAAAACTAGTACGCTATCATAAAAATATATCACGAGAGACAACAGTACAATGTAAGATCGGGCTATAGATCACCATATAATTAACAAGTTAAGTGACATGTCATATTTGTAAGAATGATTTATTGAAACCATTTTGTAAACATTTTGATCTGGGGCGTGATTCATGATCTTCGACTCTCTTTGTCACACAGGGCAAGACCTAGAAAAAGCGGGTTGTGGGCCACCATAGTTCGCACATTTTGGATCTTTCTGGCAGTCAGTGTCCTCATGGTGGTCTCCACAACGGTGACACTCCACATAGTTATAATCCTCATATACTCAGCAGCAAAAACACGTCAATCCGAATTCAAACTTAGATGGGCACTGTAATCAAATCATTACAGAAATGGACATGATAAGCGGATCAAAAACATTTTTTGTGTACAATATCCTGACACTCAGCACAATTCAAGACATTACGTGAACGTTTGCAGTCCATTCAGACTCTTGACTTCAGTATCTAGTGTGACTACCAGCGTCTATGCATGGAGTGCACTATTCGACTGATGAAGGCCATTGGCACTTTGAACCGCACAAATGAGCAAGACATCGGCTGTGTTCGGCCTTGGTATGACATTATTCAGTCTCCTCTGAATTTCATCCCAAAGATGTTCAACTGGGTTTAAATCAGGACTAAGGGCTTGCCACTGCATAATGTTGACACCGTTCTGCTGCAGGAAGTCCCGTGTAACTCTGGCAGTATGGGCCCGGGCGTTATCATGCTGGAAAATGTTGTTCCGGTGACGTGCGAAATATGGTATGACGAGGGGTCTGAGAGCTTGGTTGATGTAGGGCACCGCTGTGATGCCGCCTCCTCTCTTTGGACCAAGGTTCTGGAACACCACAGGACCCACTCTCTGGTTCAGGCCAATTCCACCCCATACCATGACGCTTGCACCTCCCAATGAGTCTCTTCCATAACACTTCGGTCTGAGTAACGCTGGCCACGTCGTCGCCATATTCTTGTTCTGCCACCTGCAGCTGATACGCAGTACCGACTCTCATCTGTGAACAGAACACTTCTCCATTGCCTGTATCGCCAGTTTTGGTGTTGTAGGGCAAACTGTAGACGTTCATGCCAATGACGAGGGGTGAGGATAGGTCCACGGTAAGGTCTACGGCAATGGAGGTTCCCGCTGTTAAGACGTCGGCGTACTGTATCAGTACTGATTGGTCTTCCGTGTGTTCCCACTGTCTGGCGTGCTGTTTCGGATGACTGCATGAAGGGTTTCTGTACATGCTGTTGCACAACATGGCGGTCTTGTCGTCTTGTGGTCATCCTTAGTCGGGGGCGATCATTCGTGGTGTTGGTGGCCTGGAAACGTTGCTGCAGCCTGTAGATGGTCCGAACGTTGACCTGGAAGTGATTCGCAACGGCTTGTGCAGTGTGGCCAGCTTCAAGTGTACCTAGCGCCTGGTTCCTCTGAGCTGTCGTGAGAAGGAGCATCCTGCTGACGTTGTAACGTGAATGTTTCAACCAGGTTTGGGGGGGTGCATTTTATAGGGCTGGTCCTTTTGAACAGCACGTGCAGCATGAGTTGCATGAAAAACGTTGAGAACACCATACCATCTCCGAGATCAGGTTGCGTTTTTGAGACCATTTCCTGGCTTCCATTCTGAGTTTTGGAAGGAATGTCTTTGCTCAGGTAAAGTTGGAGATGTTGTCAAAAATATACAATCAAAACATTAAATGAGTTTACAGTTGTCCGTTTCTGCAAAGGAAAATTCCAAAGTGACGTTTCATTTGCTGCTTAGGAGATATCCTAATAGAGCTTAGATATTTTATAGGAGACATTTAAGAGATGCTAGAATGATTTATTGAAATCATTTTGTCAACAGTTTGATTGGGAGCTTTATTCTGAGTCATCCTCAAATGCATCAGCAAACTCCTTCTCGAGTTCATTTTGCAGGTCTGGGTATGAAAAGAAATAATTTACACTCATCAAAATATATATCCATACAGGAATACACGCGTTAAAAAGTGATCGAATGCAACAGATGTCATATTTTGGGTTACAATTTCTCAAAAAACGCAAAGCAAAAGATGTTCCTTTTTACCACTTTCTAAATGGCGTTGTGTATTCAATGGCAATAGGAGCCATCGGTTTACACTGGTCAGAGGGGTGCACAATGTAGGTGATCTGAACTACCAGTCGTCAGTTGTGGAAGCCAAGATGTCTCGGTGGGTTAGATGGTGAACTTGTGTGGCCGTGATCTGATGCCTATCCGGGATGGAACTGAACCCTAAACCCTACTAGAATCTGTACTATATTAACAAAGAGTAATCCAAAATATAACTTAATTCTGGCAATGCTTGATACAAAACAAACACCAACTTCATCACATATTATGTCCCATTACCTGAATCTATGGTCATGAAGTCATGGATGCTCCTCGGGAACTCCTCCAAACTCACGCTCGAATCACCTGAAATTGTTAAAGTGATCAGTCAGACCTTATTCACGAGTATATACATTTTCACAATAATAACAATTAACTAATACCAGAGTTTTAGTGAAACATTAACATATGTAAATAATGTGTAAGTGGTCATTAGATGTAGGTTTGTTTTACCGTTTTCATCAGCAGTGAAGGTAGATCCTCGGCTGCACGTCTTTCCATCAGTTCCTC